CAATAATTGACAGTCCGCGTCGGTTCTGGGTAGTACATTTTTGACATTTCTCGGTTCTGCACGGGCCCGGGTCCAACTTTCAAAATAACAGATGGGTCCGGGTCGGTTCCGGGTAGTACATTTTTGACATTTCTCGGTTCTGCACGGGCCCGGGTCCAACTTTCAAAATAATAGACGGGTCCGGGTCGGTTCAGTGTAGCACATTTATGGGTCTCTTCGAATTTTTGGACCCGTGTAGACCTCTACTGTAAAGCTGCTTTGACACAGTCTGTATTGTTAAAAGCGCTATATAAGCAAAGGTGACTTGACTTGACTCATCCAAAAATTTTAATTCTGTGTCTGTTAACTCACTCTCATGTTGTTCTTGCACGTCAAGCACGCTTTTAAACGTCCGTGAGCTGCAAGGTGTGCATTATTATTATTATTATTTCCCATTTCATTGCCCGCCTCTTGTTTTTTTAAATGCAAAAACGCATTCTTTGTGAATAGCCGCTTAGGACTCAGCTCACGTTAATGAAGCGCCATCTAAAGGTATTTCCCTAAACAACCACTGGTCAGATTTTCTGGCACAGAATGAGAGCTTATTAAATCACGAACACGATTATTTATTTTTGCTAATTATTATTTTATTTTAGTTAGTTTTTCAGTAACTGTTGTTAGTTTCGTTTAGTTTTAGTTTTTCATTTATTTAGACATTTAAATTTAATTTCAGTTTACGAAAATGTTTTTTGACCAATAGTTTTAGTCTTAGTTTCAGTTTTCGTTTACGAAAATAACCTTGGAGCTAAAACTGGCGTTGTAATATTACAACAGTGGGCCTTACGGAGTTAAACCTACCCATACCACCAAACATGTCCTTAACCTTACCTGTATCCCACCCCAATAGCAGCAAAAGTGTTTTGCAATACAATATGAACACTAAGTACATTGTACTTATCTTTTGATATAAGTACATTGTAGTTAAGGCCACCTAATATAAAGTGGGACCTTCTATTCTATTCTATTCCTCACTCTACAAAGATACAGTTGTATTCAGCATGTCGAAGTTGTTAAAAACAGCAGTATCAAAATCTAATTCCTGCATTACAAACAAACAACTATCAACTGCTTATGAAACTGAATTTGCTGCTTTAACCTGAATGATCCGCTTCTGTCACGCTATCAGCTTACAGTTGGGCTTCCCTATAAACATGTAAAATGATTGACAGGCAGAAAGCACCTCACAGTCTTCTGATTGGTGAATCAGAACAAATCTGACTATAGTATGGATATTTTATATTCCATAAAAAATATTAGACACTGCACCTTTAATGCAAACAAAGCTTTCTGTTTGCCAATATATTTGAGTCACAATTCATTTGTCAGAAGCATTGTTACTATCTGAGAACATTTGCTGCTGCAGCGGTAACATCTGAGGCACTTTCAGGATGCACTTTAGAAAAGTTTAAAGATTCTCTGATATTGTCGAGTCCCATCATGTCATGTTGGTTTATTGTTAGAAACATTACCTTATACTTAGTCATAGCCCTGTGTTTTGTGGGTCATATTCTCTTTGCGTCACCCTGTAGTCAGTGAGAAACTGAACAAAAAAAACTCTTAAGCACACATGGCTCAGCAGGGGCTTGGTTTCTGTCATCTCTTAAAGAGTTCCTCTCTACGTGGTAGGTCTGCTTGTTGTGGAACACGCTCTGGCTGTTTATTCTCCACTGAACCAAGTGGCACTATGATAAGATTCTGCCGCTGTAATTTTGCAAGGTCACATTTCCTTGGTGAAGATGTCTGGTTGGTGGATTTGTGCCCAATCGTTTCTTTCCTAACTGATGGTCTGAGCCTTCTTGCTTGATGAAACATCACAAGTCTTCAAATTAATGTTATGCTCTGCTGGTTAAACCTGGAATGGAATATTTCATACTATTTTTAGCAGCTGAGCAGGTTATGTATGCATATCTGAAGGACGAATATTGTTGTTCCGGTGCTGTAAAACAAGATTGTCTGAGATGTGTTGGCAGAAACTTGATAGATTTTGTAGACATGTATCAATTAGATGAAAAATGACTTCATCTGGTGTCATAAACAATTTGGTCTGCCTCTTGAATTGAGTACATCTAGGACCCCAGGAGGCTGTTTGTAATGCCTGATTGAAAGCCATAAGAATTGGTGAGGTTGTGTATGGTGTAAGTTAAGTTGGCATTCTATGCTATGCTAGTGGTACTATATCTTTAATTTAGTCATTATTTTGTCAAGTCATATTCATTCATTTTAGTAAATTTTACTAAGTTAGCACGTTAGTTTAGTCGAAATAAAGAACATTGTAGTAACTTTGTTTTATTGTGTGCAGATGCTAGATTTAAAATTGCATTTACACTATCATTCAAATGTTTGGCGTCAGTAATTTTTAATTGCATTTTTTTAAAGAAATTAATACTTTTGTTTAGCAGGGACATTGTAAACTATTGAAGCCCATTTCCGCCACTGAATAAAAAAAATAAAAAAGGTAACTGTGACTTTTTATCTCACAATTCTGCCTTTTTTTTTTGCAATTGCGAGTTTACATCTCGCAGTTTACTTTTTCTCAGAATTGTGTGCTATAAACTCACAATTGCAGGTTATAAAGTCTGAATAGGGGTATATAAACTTGCAATTGTGAGAAATAAAGTCAGAATTGCGAGAAGTTTATTTTTCTGAATAAAAAAATAAAAAAGGTAACTGACTTTTTATCTCACAATTCTGCCTTTTTTTTTTGCAATTGCGAGTTTACATCTCGCAGTTTACTTTTTCTCAGAATTGTGTGCTATAAACTCACAATTGCAGGTTATAAAGTCTGAATAGGGGTATATAAACTTGCAATTGTGAGAAATAAAGTCAGAATTGCGAGAAGTTTATTTTTTCTCACAATTGCGAGTTTATATCTCAATTCTGAGGCAAAAAAGTCACAATTGCGAGTTTATATCATGCCATTCTGAGAAAAGTCACAATTGTGAGATATAAACTCACATTTTGACAAAAAAAGTTAGAATTATGAGTTTATATCTCACTTCTTTCTCAGAATTGTTTAAATCTAAAGAAAGTTTTTTTTTCTCACAATTGTGAATTTATATCACGCAATTCTAAGAAAAAAGTCAGAACTGCGAGTTTGTATTACGCAAATACAAATAAATTAACCTGTTAGGGTTTCAGTTTACTGATGTTCATTCACTGTTTAGCTTCAGCTCAAGCAGATCAGTTTCTGACAGACTATGATTTGGAATATTTGAAATAAACTCTTTTCAAATTTATTTTTGATTGTTAATATCTTGCAGTCTTTTTTTTTTTCTTGTCATTTTCTTCAACAGTATGTTAAATGACCATCATTTAATTATAACCATGATTTAACAGTAATTTTGTTGACTAGATTAAAACCGCCTGAGACTTCAAAACTTTCCGCTGTGCTGTCTAGCTGTTTTGAACACATCTTATGCGAACACTCTGCCTTAAGAATCGTGTCCAGTTGGGGTCAGACTAACCCAAAACTAGGCTAATTATACAGGGCTTCCCTTTACATCACACAGGCAACCCAATGAATATTCGAGTTTGAAAATCTGTAGTATTGCACATCCCAAAAGTTTAACAGGTGGTGTGGGCTAATTCTTTCTCAGAATTGTTTAAATCTAAAGAAAGTTTTTTTTTCTCACAATTGTGAATTTATATCACGCAATTCTAAGAAAAAAGTCAGAACTGCGAGTTTGTATTACGCAAATACAAATAAATTAACCTGTTAGGGTTTCAGTTTACTGATGTTCATTCACTGTTTAGCTTCAGCTCAAGCAGATCAGTTTCTGACAGACTATGATTTGGAATATTTGAAATAAACTCTTTTCAAATTTATTTTTGATTGTTAATATCTTGCAGTCTTTTTTTTTTTCTTGTCATTTTCTTCAACAGTATGTTAAATGACCATCATTTAATTATAACCATGATTTAACAGTAATTTTGTTGACTAGATTAAAACCGCCTGAGACTTCAAAACTTTCCGCTGTGCTGTCTAGCTGTTTTGAACACATCTTATGCGAACACTCTGCCTTAAGAATCGTGTCCAGTTGGGGTCAGACTAACCCAAAACTAGGCTAATTATACAGGGCTTCCCTTTACATCACACAGGCAACCCAATGAATATTCGAGTTTGAAAATCTGTAGTATTGCACATCCCAAAAGTTTAACAGGTGGTGTGGGCTAGACATAAAGCCAGAAAATAAGGGCAAAACTAACAAGCTGTCTGTGAAAGTGATGATTTTTAACGACCTAAAATAACGAAGATGAGATATTTTGACAAGCAGCCTCCTCAGTCGCCTATTTTCTTAATGACTGTATTTTGCAACTCTACCTCGTTCATCAAAGCTTTCACATCTTAGTGGCGTTCGCAAATCAAACCGTTATTTAAAAGTGTGGCTGTGTTTTATTTCAGATTATTCCTGACAGCCCGTTTTCAGCTCGCAGTTTAATTTCAGGACCGCAAGCTTTACATGCATAAATGACCTTCACGATTAGCTGATGCGAACGGCGCTGGGGGAGATTACGCTCATTTACATGTGTGACACACTCACCTCTGCGGTTCATGTCTACGGGAAGCGCGAATAAGGAAACGTGGTAATCCAGTGAGATTTTCTCATGTCAAAGACATGTACAATGATTCATGCTTGCAGCTGTCTTGTACTGTTAATTTCTGGTTCGTTTATGCTTCATTTGAGCCAGTGGCCTTAAACCCCTCATTAGTCAAAATCACATCAAGGCTCAAGTCCTGCCTGAACATTTCTGGGTTGTAAAACCCACTATGAGTATTTTACATGCATTTCCATTTCATTAATTCTTTGTTTCCACTTGTTCATCCTTAAATGTTTGGTTGGTTCTGTGCGAGTCTATAAAACTCAGAGAATATAAAGAGGAGTCAGTTCTCATACCATTGGTCCAAATCCATCCCAGCTCTAACGACCTTCCTTTGCCTTTTTCTATCTCCCTTCAACAAGGCCAAGTGGAGTCAGTGGCCACATTCAAGGGTAATGAGTTCTTCAGCTACGACCTGTCCCAAAAGCCAATCCAGAGCAGCACAGATGAAATCACCCTGTCCTTCCGAACGCTGCAGCGAAACGGCCTCCTGCTCCACACCGGCAAATCCGCAGACTACGTTAACCTGTCTCTGAAAAGTGGGGCCGTGTGCCTGGTCATCAACCTGGGCTCCGGTGCCTTCGAGGCTCTGGTGGAGCCATCCGATGGCAAGTTCAACGACAATGCCTGGCACGTGGTCCGCGTGTCCCGCAACCTACGTCAGGTAACGTTCACATTTGCGCATCGTGGCTTCACAGGGTGCTTCATTTGATTTTTCTAATATGACTATACTTTGGTTGACTTGTGTTATTGTATAAAGTAAATGTATAAATGCATAATTGCATTATTAACTGTTTAAAATTTCTTGCACAAAAGTAATTTAACTCTTTGAGTTTTCTGATTGGCTAGCAAGCGGAGGTCACAACAGGTATTTCAATGAATTTGAAGTGTGCTAGTGTGAAAAAATCGCTACAGCAGTTATGTAATACAAATAAGTCAATGTAAACCTTTCATTTAGCTTTAAAATGTTTCTTCTGAAATGACTGTCATTTCACATATGATTTTAGCTTTAAATCCTGCGATACCAAGAGTATATTGGTTGTAATAGAAAGTGAATTTTAGACTGCAAGTTTGCACACTGAGGGAAGGGGTCATTTTAAAGCGAGCAGCCAAATCTACTTCCCTTTAATTAGGCTGTTAGCAAAGGGAACTTCATGGAAGTTATTTATTTTTTAAACCCAACAG